AAAATCACCAATACGCCATCCATGGAAGTGTTCAAGGCATAATTGGATGGGGCTTTGAGCAACCTGATTTAGTGGTAGGTGTTCCTGCCCACAGTAGGGGTTTGGAACTGGGTGGTCTTTAACCCAAACCATTCTATGATTCTGATTCTAGGATCCTGTGCTATTCACATTCATGAAGGTATGTTTCAATCCTGATATTTAAAAAAATATATTTTTTCATAATCATTAAATGCTTCCTGTGATGCAATACAGAATATGCTCAAAAGTGCGAAGTACTGAAGCCATGTTCAAAAAACCCTTCTCTGATCACACTGCAGAGGCTTGATCTGCACCGGTCTATATGCATACCCAAAGTTTCCATATGAGTAGTATGCAAAGTTTCTGCCTGTCTCTCTACAACTTTAAAAACAATGAAAAATAAAAAGACAAAGCTAACTGTGTTTTGATAATTTTCTTCTGTTTTCATTTTTTTCCTTTAGTCTGTGAGGTGATGGCCTGAAAAATAAAAAAAAATCCTGATCTGCTACTTCTACCATCACACAATTTATTTTACTGCTGGTATTGTATTAGAAGGGTTTTAAATGCTTTATTACTAAGTTTCCAACCTTAAAGGATAGGATTCAAAACTATGGTGTTTCTGAAGCACTTTGAACACTGGAGAATATGTTACTCAGCTCCTATACAGCTTTGTTTAGAAGTCTGTCAAATGGCTCTGGAAAACAAATCAAAATACAAAAATTTTCTTTGAATGCCATTAAAATAATAGTTCTTGGGTATTATAAAAGAACTTCCCAGGTCTCTTAGATATATAACTGAAATACAGTCATGGTAAATGATTTTAGGTGAGGTGAAAATTTAACCAAGCCTCCTGAGAATCAAATTGTAAGTTAATACTGCAAACACAGTATTATTCTCTTTTCTGAAATAGCCATTAGGGTTGTATTACTCGAACTGTATTTACCTTTTCCTTAGAGAAAAAGAGGTGAATGACAATATTTGGATTAAACATAATATTACCAAGGCAATACATATACGTTAATGAGATAGACAGGTAAATCAGCCAAATAATGTTGCTAACTGTGCTATTGCTTCAGAATAATCTTTCACCCTCACATAAATAGTGGAAGCCAGAACTATAAAAGAATTTAAAAGAAGGCAAAGGTTTTGCAGGATAGTAAAAGTCTGAACGTGATCAATCTCTTTCAACATGCTGGAGACTCTAACTGCAAATTTTGAAGGATGAGTGTAGCTGATAAATGACAAAAATGATTAGTCTGAAATATTTACTATCTGTAGTGCTAACAGTCATTTCATCTATATTAATTGGCACAGTGTCTTCTGTGCCAGATGGTCTATTGCAGAGAGTGAACATTACCCTCGTGGATTTATCCAAATTATGTATTTGACGTTTGGATGAAAGCGTTTTGCCTTTTTTACTAGTTGAGCACAGAGAATTATGTCTATCATATTTATGCTATTATTCTATACAGGTCATCAATAAATATACATACAAAGGTCTAACTGGGTTCTAAGCAAAGACAGCTATGATGTATTTTGTTTGATAAAGCTCTAAAAACTTCAGTGTTATTATTATCAGTGCTTAACTCAGCTTTCAAATATAAATTCTGATGCCCTGTTGCTAAGGCAGTGAACAAATACTAGAGAAGAAAGTCACTGGGAAGTGTAATACTTTACCATCTTCCCCAGATCTAGGTACCTTGGGGAAGACTGACTGGAATACTTCCATAAACATGCTGTGTTTTGGCCTAATTCCAATACAGGTGTTATAACTCCCTTCCCACTGAATATTGACTGCCCAAAGGTGATTGCTGTAGGGCTGTATCATCCACCAAGCACGGTGATGTGGCAGTTTAGCTCAGCTCCCTGACTGACTTCAGCCTCATAGCACTGGATCACTCATACCAAGAGCTAGTGTCCTTGGAGGGAGGTGGAAAGAAGGGACTGTGCAATTCAACAAAAGCATATTAGGTAAGAAGTTGCCACAAGGATGGCTGCTACTCAAAGGACCAAGATACTCTCAGAAAGTCTAGGTTTTCACTCAGTATTTGAATAGAAGCCATCTGGGAGTTGATAGTTTGTTAACTTTTTAATAGTCCATCAATAAACCCCAACAAACCAAAGTGACAGTTTATTTGCTATTATGTAACTAAAAGCTTCCAACACAGACTTTTTATTAATCACAGCATTAAAACATGGCACAGAATGTGTGAGATAAGGAGATCAAGGGCTGGAAGCTCCGTGCAGCTTAAAAGGTGTGATAAAAGATGGGATCGTCTGTTCTACATGCATACATACATTCAAAGGATATACTGGGGACTATACAGAGAGAGAGAGTCACATTGAAAGTAAAGGGATGAAAAACTTAAAAATAGGGAGGGAGGTCAGTGGAAAGCAAGACAGAGAGCAGGATGTCTTCTGTCAAATGAATCCAGTGAACACAAAGAAGAAGCTAAGTGCAAAATGAAAACAAAATAAAGCAAAGTAGAAGAATGAGAACAGCAAGAAGGAAGAAAAGAGAGTAGGAAGACATGATATGGGCATATAGAATGGGAAAAGAATGAAAAATTCAAAGCTGAAGAGGAAATAAGCAAAGAAATGGCAAAGATGTTTGCACTCGGTGCTTCTTTTTGCTCAGTCTTTGCCTGTCTTGGAAAAAAGTGATGCCAGAAGGCCAAAATCATCAGACAATTTGTATAGCAAGAATTTTCCTTTGGAAGAAATAACAAATCCTAGCAATTATATTTTGTCCAAAGCACTCTCTTCACCAGTGAAACGGACTTGGGAGACATTCGGTCCTTCACAGTCCATTTTTATCTGAAATAAATCAATTACATTTTGGAATAACTATCAAAGTTTTCAGGAGAAGATTTTCCCTGTTCCTCCTACAAGTAGGTCCGTGATTACAATTCAAGTGTATGTGTGGGGTTCAAGCTCACTGTGAATATTTAAATAAAACAGTCATTGAATAGCTATAACTTGCTGCTTTGTACCCTGGCTTATGCTTACCTCAGAACATTCACCTGCTGCAATAAAGGACATAGGCTGGAAGGAGGTCAGCAAAGGCCAGAAATGTGAATTAACATTATCTACCTGCTAAACAAAGTGATGATTCATGAGTGAAAAACAGGCATGATTTTAAAGGTCACTAGACCCAGTTAAACTGCATGTCTAAGACTTGTGTATGTGGCACACACAATACGCAGACCTACCATAGGGGAATTCCTTAGGTATTCATTGGCATGAATAATTCTGATCTCGTTTAGCACATAGCCATACTAAATGACAAAGAAAATGAGCTATAGTCTCAGATCCATAGTCAGTGGTTGTATTACGTAACTTCCACGTCTTGCAGAAATTCTGGCACTCTCTATAGCTTTAAACCCTCTTAGGAGACATGAACTATTTCAAGAGCCAATCTCTGAGAAAATTCACCTTTGCAGCCTAAGGCATAAGGAAGGCTCGCTCCTGGCAAAAGCATAGGTTTGTAATTTTACAGGATGCTCTCATAGGTCATTTTTGGATGGCTTTCAGACTGATGCATTAAGATGATTTTAGCCTTTATTCAGTAATGCTTTGTTATTTTGAGGTATTCATTTCTTCTTTTTTTTTATTTTTTTATTGCTGCTTTTATCTCTGGCACTTAGAATGCCAAGACAGATCGCCTCAAGAAAAATAAAAGGCATTATTATATTCTGTCTCTATCCAACATTTGTGCTTTCAACACATAATAAATATTCAGATGTGTTTTATGTCATTAGCTAGAATGGGAAGTCTGTCACTGAGAAAAGGAAGACCTATTTAATAACAGCAGGGCCAAGCTTCCTTTAATATTATGGAACTAAGCAACTTGATATTTCATCATGGTCTTTAACAAAAGCCTAACAACCTAGTGTAGAACTGTTTTTGTCTGTGTGCTACTGGGCTATAATCTTAAGGTATTTCTCTGAAATCTTCAGCACAATAATACACATGACATTTGTCATTTTATGGGCTGCAAAATACTACCAGTGGTTAGTCCATATGTGTTTTCTAGAGATCCTCCTTTAATTTTGACTATCTTAACTGGAAGCGGGCAGCCAAGGCCACATCCAAGATGAGATGGTTATTTGAACTCCACTTCTCATCTGCTGGTAAGATCACAATCCCTGTTCTTCTCTAAATAAAAAAGGAGAAGCCACTTTAATAGTGAACTCTGAAACAAAAGATAATGGAGGGTTTTCAAACCATGATGGTCTATTATTAATTACTTTACTTCTGTTCTTTTGTTTGGGGAAGCAGTATGGTCCGTCCACAGGCAACCAGGAATGTAGCATTAGTTCAGTTTTACACTACATGAGTCATTACCTCTTTCAGTAACTACATCTGTGAAGTGCAGATTTTGGTCATAGTAATCACTCCTTGAAAAAAATATCTTGAAGTGGTTTGCAAGGAAAATTACATATCAATCTGTGTTAGGAATTTTTATTGTTCAAAAAATATGCAAATATATTCCAAGTCAAACATTGAATGGTACTGTTTTGCTAAACTTCACTGCAAATTTTAGTTAATTAATCCATGTATATGAAATATTTTATTTTAAAAATCAGTTGCAATTTAAAGTAATTAAACATTTTAAAATGTTAACATAGTTTCTTAGTAACTAGATACCATTCAATTATCATCCTTGAATAATCACTTCATGATTGGTGACATTTTGTCTTTTCTTCTGCATTAACAAAACATGATTCATAGTTTTCTTTTGTCTTCTGATTACCACTATTAGTTCAGAAAAGAAAGTGAGTCAAATTATTTATTTTACTTGAAGCTTAATTCAGCATTAAGGTCATACTCAAAAGTGAGGCTACAAATTGAAATAGCAAGGTCTAAATGCAGTATATATTTTTTCTCATTATTTCACTGATATAAAAATACAATAAATTTTTATGTAAAAATACAGTAAATTGTACATTAATAGAAAAAACACAAAATATTTTCCCCACCTTTTTTTTTATCTTCTCTTCCTCACTTCACCTGGCAAAATTCCTTTTGGATACGAGAAACTCAACTGCATATATTTATCTCCCTGGAGAGAGACTGAAGGAAAAAAAAACATGTGACAGATGTTAGTCACATTGCTTAATGTACTACTGGAACACATTCAGAAACTATGGTGATGATCATGATATAAATAATCTATATAGAAGAGAATCCTGAAACCATTCCTCTGAGAAAATGTTCATTAATTTCAATTAGGCTTTTACCTAAGTAATGATTACCTGGCCAGATTATCAGATTATAGGTATTATTATGCTATTTTATAATATAAATAAATAAATATTAAAACATCCTTATGTTATTCCTAAACCTTGTTCTCAAATGTTTTTGACTTACTTTCTTCAAATAAGGTGAATTTACTAATCAAAATGTTCATGATAAATGGCAGCACCACAGGTAATAAAAGCTCTGTAAGTGGTACTAGCCAACAGCTAAATAGCCAAAGTGCTTCTTATCAGTTTGTACTACCTGTTGGCCAGGATGTGGTCAGCACTGTGGAATGGCTCTACTAGGTCAGTCAGAAAGGATCACCCAGCTGGGGGTCATCTCTCTGCTCAGTCTTTGAGCTTATGGAACCTGTTTTCTCTTCTAATTTGTTTCTTTTCTAGATAGAAGAGTCTTAGCTTATTCTATATGCCTCAGTTTTGTCTCTTTTGGAAATAAATACTCATCTTTAATAATAACTGTTACTACCATTATTTTGCTAATAATTCAAATTCTGCTATATCCTTTTGAATATTGGGGAGCAATGGGAGAGAGGTCTGAACTGTTTTAAAAGTGATTCATGATTTGCAAATGAAAATTATGTTGTTCACAGGTTTGGTTTTTTGGTTGGTTTTTTTGTTTTGTTTGTTTATTTTGTTTGTTTGTTTTTCCTAACAGTTACTACCATTTTATTTGAGTTTTTGCCTGTTATTCAGAATAGGACTGACATATTTGTGGGACTAACTCTCATTATCTCAAGATTTTTCTTCTGAGAGGTAGCACTTAGCTTGGAGCTCATCATTTTATATGTGAATTTGTGGTTTTTTCCTCTTGTGCATCACTTTACATTTTTCTGCACTGCATTTCATCTGCCATTTTATTTTCCAATCAGCCTCATAAGTTTCTGCAGCAATTCTTCACAGTCAGTCTGCATTTTTCCTATTCTGAATAATTTAGTATTAACAGCAAGCTTTCCAAGCTCCCTACAAAATGTCTTTTCTAGGACTTACATGAAGTCATTGTAAAGCACAAGTCTCACCTCAGCCCCTTGCAAAACTCCACAGCAGCATAGAGTGATCCTTGGAGTGTTCTGCACAGGGCCAGGGGTTGAGCTTGATGATCATGATGGGCCCCTTCCAGCTCAGCATATTCTAAGAGTGTATGATTTTCTTTAAAAGGCTTGAGAGATGGCATTGTCAAATACTTTGTAAATACAGCTAGACTGTATCAACTAAATCATTCTTCTTTTCATGTTTGATGACTTTGTCAAAAAAAAAATACTAAAACATCCACAGCACAGAACTCTCCTCTACGTAAGGCATGCTGGTATCTCCAAGGAACTTTTCTTTTTCCAGATGCCCACTAATTTTGTTGTACATTTTGACTACAAATTTACCTAATATGGAAGTCAGAGAATCTAGCTACCCCAGTCTTCCCAGAAAGTCTCTCATATACCATCTGCTGTGGATACATTGATGTGCACAACGAATTCAAATGACATAGAGGAAATTCTGACCATATTTTACAGGAAGATTCCAGGCAATTTCCTGCCCAAGGTGAAACTTGACTATTTGCAGATAGGAATGCAGTAATAGGAACAACTCACTGAATATTTTGGTCAGGCAAATTGCAAAATACTGCTGATATCATGACATCTTGAGTCTGAGCCATTTTTGAAAGAAAGTGGACATGATTAATTTATTTTGTGCTATGTTCAGATCCCATACGGCCTCTACTTATGGTACTTAGCACACCAGCCAGAACCCACCTGTACAATTTTTTATTTAAGGGTTTATAGATAGTGCGATTGTGAAGGCCATGAAACAGATATCTGGACATTTTACTGAGGCAAAATAATTTCTGGAGAGGTACTGAAGCAGGATTTCAAAGCTGAGTGTGCAGTCTAGAATGTCTAAGCAGCTGGCCAGAGCTTACATTCTGTTACTGAATATTATTCATGTGCTTATGAGCTATTTTAGATCCTTGTCCAACATCTGTTGCTTTCAGAGTGGGAAGAGAAAACCATGTTCTCCATCCTATTTCAGAATTTTACTCTCATTAAATACTATGGTCAAACCATGGTACATCAGGTATTTCCACTTTGAAGGCACAGCCTGAATGTGATATTTCATGTAAGCCTTCAGAAACATAATTTTTTTTTTTCCATTAATAGCAGGAGGAGAGATGTGTGACACAGAAATACCCCCATTTATACAGATTTTGGTTTTTGTAGGAATTCCCGTTGAGTGTGCTGACATCTTGTGGCTGGATGGATATTTCAACAAGTCATGTGTATGCTGAGGGGAGGCAATTCCTGCACAGCATCTTGGGATCTCCTGCTCTTCTTGAAGTCTTCAGCCAAAGGCCCCATGCTGAGAAACATTTTGAATTTGACTACACAACATTGATTGTTTTTCTTCTTTCTCGGTTGGATTTTCTTATTTCACCTCAAGCCCCATAATTTTGGGGGAAAAATAAATACATTTATTTTCTTCAAGTCACGCAGTCATTAAATCTCTGTGCCTGAAACATGGACCAGAGCTGTATGGTAGCGATAGCAAGAATGCTGGCATGTGTTTGCCAGTGAACTGCTCTTCTTCTGGTTCTTGGCTTCCTTTTGTGACCAGATGTTCGCAGAAAGAGGGAATGTTGTGCTGTTTTTTTCCACAGCGTACAGGATGGACAGCTGTGCTCTAGTTCTTTGGGATTTTGTTTGTTCACTCTTTCTAAAAAATATATATCTCCCCCAAGCCCTTCTTTTCGCATCCATTTACAGTCTAAAGATTACTTCTGTCACTGGTGTCTTCTGGCTATTATGTTTCTGCACATTGCTCCTCCTTTGTCTCTGCAATCTCCTATCCACTCTATCTTTAAAAATTCTGTCTTCTTTTACTAACTGTAGTTTTTGGTCCCCTGTTCAAATTTCTAGAGCTGAGAATTTGTTGTGCTTTTCTGCAACACCAGCAGCTGATTCCACAACAAAATTTACCAGCTTTCTGTCATCCTGCTGTGAGCGACAAGGTGAGGAGCAGAGCCTGTGAGAGTAACTCAAGGGAAGCTGAAAAGCTGCTCAGGGTTGCTGCAAATATTATTTCCATGCTGAAGGCCCAACAGACAGGGCGACTACAGGTGTTCCCAGAGCAGATACTAACAGCAGGTAATACAGAATCTGTGGCTCTTCTGGGGTTAATAAGATGCTTCTGAGGACCAGGGTAGAGGTTCTGTGGGTAGCTGCTGCCTCAGGCATAAGGACTGGCATCCACTGTGCTCGGTGTGAGAGTTAGACACAGAGGCTCAATGTATACAATCTGTCTCCCCCTGTTTATGTTCATGATTCATCTGTGCCTACATACTTTCGTGAACAGTATGCTGCACTATGTTATTAAACACAAAACTGTGTACATAGCTTCTGGGATTTGTATGTACGTCTCAGAAGAAGAAAGAAAGGGTTTCAGTGAAATCGTGCCCATATGGCAGGTCAGCATGCATTAGTCTCCACTTTTCTGATGTGCCTGTTCTGAAGAACCATTCAGAGAATTTATCTAGCCAGCACTACAGGAAATTTCCAAGCAGAAGAGGATATATACACATATGTTTTATTAAGATTTGATGACATTTTCAAAAAGGTGGTGTATCAAAAACCAGAAGGCAATATGATCAAAGTATGTTCTATGTCCAGCATATTGTCAGTAAAGTGGAAAGCTTACAGATATCAATGTATTAAGTGTATTTATAACATATAGAGAAAATGGAAGAGAATTTAATGACTTGATAATCGTTTTAGGCAAAAACGAATTATTATGACTGAAAATGAGAAAAATCCTAATATCTTCAGGAGACTTTTGCAACACAGATCTGTAGTTACACTGTCAGAAGTTATTTGGGAAAATTAGGAGATTGAATTATTTGTGAGGTCAACACAAGAATGAATAAATAGATCTTATAAAAAATGTACACATCCCAGAGAAATTTTTATAGCTCATAACACACTGAATTTGGGCACTTTCACTGCCAATAGATCATATGACTAAGGAATGCCTGTCTGACAGAAACATACAGTTAAGAGATGCAGACAGAAAACCAAAACTAGATCAGTTCTCTTGAATTGTTCTCTGCAGTAAATACTACTCTTTTATTTTTTTTTCCTGGATATTTTGATGAGGAATAAATTTGAAAAGAATCTATTCTGGTTTATTTATTTTCAATAACTGCGTAGCTGTCAGGAGATTTAACCCGCATTGTATTTGTATAACCACAAACATTAACCTCATCTCAAGAACTTTCTCCAAATCCATAAATAAATTACATTTCTTTAAAGATGTTTTAATAAGGTTTATGTGGGATAGAAGTCAAGCTTAGACACTGCAGACGCCTTTGTGCTGGAAAAAGAACTCTATGACCAGAAAAATTATAGTTCTGAAAGTCTGTTTGTAGGCTTTTCTGCATAACTGCTATATTAAAGTTGCTATAATAAACCTTGTTCAGCTCTTTATTGTCAACTAAAAATATCTACTTCGCTTGTAACTCACAAACTGTAAGAATAAGGAAATACATTTTTCCCTTCTTCCTTTTGTTCCTTTTACTTATACAATTTTTCCCATAAGTTGCTAGGAAACCTTAACAACTGGATACTTAAGAAAACAAAGATGTGGCCAAGCCTCAGGGAAGGAGGGCATCTAGTTGCAGTGGAGATATCTCTCTGAGGGAGGAGAAACCGTCAGAATTGGGCAGGTGAAGGTGCGGGGGCAGCTGCTGGTCTCTCGCTCTCGGCATCGGAGGCCGGCGCAAGCTGTTGTTTGCTGTGTGGAGAATTCCCTGTCACCGCCGGAGCCCAGGCCTGTACCGCCTCGGCCTTCCCGGGGGTGAGCCCGTGCTCGTAAGAGCAGCTGCTGGACTGGGACGTTTTTATCACCCACCTCACTAAAAGAGGGACCTATCCCCATCTGCTCGGGTGCCGGGATCCTGAGCTCACTCCTCTGCCCTGCTGGCAGCCGGGTGCCGCTGTCCCGCCCCTGCTGCTTCTTCGGCGCTGCCCCGAGCTTTCGCTGCTCTGTTGCCCCGCACCCCCTGACTGCCGAGACATCCAGCCGGGCCAGCTTGCTGTTTCCGAGAGTCCTGAAGAGCACCGGGACCAGCTGCCCCAGGTAGGTTTGTACAGCAAAGCCTCTCCTCCACCCTTTCCCCTCTGGGCCGAGCCGCCATTACCGCGTGTGGCCTCAGCCCGCGGCACAGCGCCCCCTGGCGGCGCGGCGGAACCACCGCCCCCGCCCCGGCCGGCGGGAGCAGCAGCGGCGCCTGCCGGCCCTGCCCGGAGCTGCAGCCAGGGGAAGGGTCACTGCGTCCTGTTCTGTTCGGGGCTAACGCCGGAGCTGCTGCTGTGTGTTTGCCTTATTAAAGTAAAGAGCTGTTATTCCTATTCTCATGTCTTTGCCTGAGAGCCTCTTAATTTCAAATTACAATAATTTCGAGGGAGGGGGTTTACATTTTCCAGTCCAAGGGAGGCTCCTGCCTTCCTCAGTAGATGCCTGTGTTTAAGACACTTGCCAATACTTCCTTGAGTATTTTTTTATTTTACTACATATTAATATTTAACATAAATTCTTCTAGCTCTGATCTCCTCAGTAAAAGAGAAGGAACTACCAAAGAGTGTCCAGCAGAGGCCACAAAGATGATGAAAGGTCTGGAGCATCTCTGTTATGAGGACAGCGGGGATTTTTAGTCTGGAGAAGGTGAGACTAAGAGGGGATCTCATCAATACATGCAAATATCTCAAAGGCGGCTGCCAAGAGGATGTGCCAGACTCATCTTTGTGGTGCCAGTGACAGGATGAGGAGCAATGGCAATAAACTGAAACACAAGAAGTTTCACCTCAGCATGAGGGACAACTTCACACTGAGCGTGGCAGAGCACTGGAACAGGCTGCCCAGGGATGTTGTGGAGTCTCCCTTTCCAGAGACATTCAAAATGCTCCTGGATATGTTCCTGGATCTCCAGAGGATCCTCCCAACCTCAACTATTCTGTGATTTTCTAAACTCGTTAAGCATTGTGTGTTTGATCTAAATGACACCATACAGTCTATCAATATTACTTTCAATGATTTAAAGCTTATTTTTGGAAAACATCAATCTAAAAAAGTAGTGGTTGAAGATTTCAGCACAATTTCAGAAATTTCTGTTACTGTGAACAATTGCCTTGAGGTTATGTAGGCTATAGTGAAACCAGACACAGTCTAACCTGTGTCACATTTGGTGAGCTGTTCCTTACGATAATCCTGTTGCATTGGTGAAAGAATTTTACAAATATTTTCCTGGTGTTTTATAACCAACATTATTTAATGAAAGGATGACTCTGCCTACACTTAAAACAGTAATAAACATAAGCATTACCTTTATTCAAACAGACAGTTTTGGCTGCAGTATTCATTGTATTGCTTTTTATTCTGTGAATGAAATCCTAAAATGTTTCAGCTTCCACAAAATGCCAGGATTTTTTGTTCTGCTCTAACTGTGATCTGGTGTCATCAAAACCAAAGTTTCAAGATAGATGTCACTGTGTCTTTCACACTTAATGAGTCTGCTGTAAAATCAAAATATTTTAAGACCCTCAAAGAACAGTTTCTTTAAACAAAAAACGGTAAAGAATAATTAAATAAGGGAAATTTGCTTGATATCCTTTTTTTATTATCCTTGCTTTTCCCTACTCAATCTGCATAGCACCAGTCTCAGACCCTTCTAGACTCCTTCTGAAGTCTTTTTGCTACTTTTTCTCCATGGTAAAATGTAATTTCATGAGTGTCAAGGTCTTGTGACTGTAACTGACTCTCCTGTCTCCAACATCCTCTGCCTTGAGTATGCTCGGTAAGTCCCTCAGGGAAGGAAATCTGTCCCTTTCTCCTCCCTCTTTTTAGCTCCTTTTTAGCTGTTTCATTAAGATAAACATAATTATAAATGCATAATAAAGTAAATCAGCTGGTACTATCACAAAACCAAAACTCTAGAAGATACATTTCTTTGTTGGTTAGCAGCCATAAAAGAAAGCAGGATGCAGTCAGTATCTGTGCAGCCTTTGAGCACGTGGTGCATGTTCTTAGCACTGTGTGTGCCAATACAGATTGAATAAGGAGGGATCTTTGGAAGCATCTTGTCTTTCAGAAGTGCTCTGAGCTTCTCTTGCACTCTGGGCTGTCTTCTGGGTGTCAGTGCAACCTGATTTACTCAGAACACTAGTGAGACATGCTAAAAGAATTCAGTTTCCATGCACAAGGCATATTTTAGAGGCATTATTTTCAAACCTCCACAGCTCAGCCAAATCAAAACCAGTTTTTCCTGGAACACTCAAATGCACTGTTCTGAATAAGGTATAAGTATCTGCCAATTTCTAATTTTCTAGGTTCAGCTGATTCATCAGTACAGTTTTTCAGCGAGTAGTCATAAGGCAATTTATAACAGAAGTCAATTTCAGTCTACTTATATTCCAGAGAACTAAATTCATACAAACACTGCAGAAAAAAATAAACAAACTGCAGGTTTAGGCTAGGCTTGAAAGATTTTAATCATCGAGGCAAAAATTTTAGGGAAGTCTTAATGGAGAGGGGAAAAATATTTTTGAGAGCACGATTTAGGAACCTAATATAAGAATATCATCAGTATCCAACATTAATTAGTTTGAAAACCAGTTACTTCAGTCAAACTATTTTTCTGGCACGCTAAAATGTATTGAAATGTTGATAACAAAATTTGAAATGGTTTTCTGACTAAAGAGTTTACAAAGGATTAATTGTGGTAATTCTACAAATACAAAACAATTGTTTAAGCATTTCAATTCACAAACCTAAACTTGTTCATTATAAACATTATTCCATGTTGGTACATCAGTGATATATATGTCTGCCTAACAGTATATATGATAATATATAGGACTGACTGACAAAATGGAAAAAAAATCTTACTTCTTGACAAAAATTCCTACACATAGGAATAGTAAAGTAGAGAAAAATTGTACTTGGATTTGCTCCTGGATATATTCTGTCTCAACTTCCTTTCCTCTAGAAAATCAGGATAGAAAGCAAAGTAAATGTTCATGGGTTGGTCTTGGGTAGCTGCTAGACCAAACCCAGACAAACTTTTAACCTTCACAACCAAGATGAGATAGAAAATAAGATGGGAAAGCTAATAGGTTGATATGGACATCACTTACCAGTTGTCATCACACATTTGACTTGGGTAAAATTAATTTACTTTATTGACAAATAAAATCAATTTGGATTATAAGAATCAAAGACAAATATACATTTATGTTTGGAAGATGGGAAAGTTATTTTCTGAAAACACACATGAAATTAGATTCTATTTGTCCTGAATGAAAATCTTAGCTATGTATTTGATAACATCAGTAATCTCCTAGCTTGAAAAGCATATTTTTTTGCTTCAAAGTGTTCTGGAGATGCTTGTATGCTCCCCCTTTAGAAGCTGTCTTTGAAAAGAGCCATTCATTGGTCACCTTGGAAAATTTCTGAAAGTTTAAGGAAGGTGCCCTTTTTCAAGAGTATTTTTACCAGGGAAATTGCAAGCACTTCAAGAACATGTGTGAGTATATTTTGGGCAGAAAAATAGCCACCCCATAAATCCCTCTGAGATAAGGAGAAAAAGAAGCAGGTCTATCTCCATATACAGGAAACACAAACCACCATCTCATTCTTCTTGAGATGGCAGTGAAGTAGAAACAACCTCACAGAATGACAATTGAATTATATCCATTGGATGCAAATGACTCATTGGTGTCAGAACGATCTAAGAATGTTTCAAGGAGCCTAAGGATGTGTGTGTGTACAGGATGGACCTTTCTCTTCTTGCTCTGCATGTAATCACAAGCCTTATGTATGTTCTGTCTGGAAATAGAAATTTCTTCCTTCTGGTTGCTGTAAAAACGATGTTGGAACTCTGCTCTCCCCTGAGATTCAGGAAATGGTAATAAACCTTTTCTGCTTGCTCTGAGGGACTCATATTTGAAGCAAGAGACAAGAGAGCTTTGAAAGCTGTTCCCAACTCACTGCTATTGGTCTCTGGCCTGGTACCAATGAAGGCCGTCTTTCTGTGACTGGATCAACTATCTTGGCATGGATTTTTGCCTTTGTGCCAGGTGGGAGTCACATTTCACTATGCCTTGCACTTCATCTACACACTGGCAGAAGCCAGATTTCCCTGCAGGCTGCTTAACCACCTTGGCATGGCTTTTGTCCAAATGCTGGCTGGGAGCTGGTTCCTCTGTGGCCTTCTCAATTCTCTTGGCATGAGACAATTGCTCAGACACCAACTGAGAGCTCAGTTCCTGCAGCCTGCTGTTTCCATCTGCTGGTTCTGAGTGGCAACAAAAAGAGAGGGGCTATCCTTCAAACCACCTCGGATTTTTTTTCTTTGGAATTTTCTGAGAGGAAATAAAACCAGCCCTCAGAGATAAAGAAACATTAGGTTAAACATTCTGTGAAACCTCTGTTCCAAAAAGAAATTGGAAGTTCAGCCCCTGTGTGTCTCAGTCAGTTCCACCTGGGCAATCAAGCTACATCTGGCTGTAATTAATCTGAAAAAAAAAAAATGAAGGGTTGCCCTGTGGGATGCATCCACTTAGAAAATCCACAGTGATTTCTGTATGATATGCCTCTTACTTACAGATGTGTTCTAGGCTCTTGATCTTCAATCCTGATCTCAGAATCTCTTTCCTTAATGTTTTTTTGCAATTGCTGACTGGTTTGCTTGACTTCTACTAATTTCCTTATTCTTCAGTTCAATAGCATTCTTAGATTCTGGACTATGTTGGAGACATATTTTTCCAGACTAGTAGAAAAAATATTTCCTTTTTTGGTTCACTATAAATAGGTCTGTCTAGTTTTTATTCAGCCTTAAGTGCTGAGTACAAATGTCTCTGTCTTAAGCTACATTCCCATGAAAGGATATTGTCTGGATACATAGAAATCTGGACATCACTTCCTGACAAATGTTGTTTAGTTTAGAT